CTTTAATTTGGCATAAAAGAGGTACAATTCCAACTCTTATGAACTTAAACTCCAGGGATATGATGAGTGAGCCCTTAATAGATCTTCTCTAACCTTTGTGATTATCTTTCTCAAGTAGATGATATGGTAGTTATTCTGGAGAATTACCATCAGGCCTTTGATTTTCTCCAGAACTCTTTAAGGCAGATATAAAAGCAGCCACTAGAAAAAAAAAAAAAAATGTATTCAAGTCATAACGGCAGCTGATGGGTAAAACAAAGCTGGCTTTTTAGATACATGCTGAGGAAAGTTTTCATAAACATGAGAAATCTTTAAGAAAATCCTAGGACTTCTCATTGTCACTTGTTTTAGCTTAGCCTATTAATTTACCCTTCCCTAAATAAGGCTGTTTGATCCTTAATGATGAGCAAACTGCACTAAGAAGTAAAGATCCTGGCCCTCTGCCTTTCTTCCTATGCTTAATCAAATTTTTCATTTACTCTTTCCACTATGTGAATACACTTTTTTTTTGTCTTTTTGAGACAAGGTCCCTGTAGCCTCAGCTACCCTTGAACTCGCTATGTAGACCAAGCTGGCCTGATCTCACAGAGATCCTCCTACCTCTGCTTCCCAAGTGCTGGGCTCAAAGGTGTGTACCACCACACCCAGGTGAGAATACAGTTTTGATACAGGAGCAGAGGATGTTTAAAATTTAAATTTAACTCATCTAACTTCCACTACTAAAATTTAAAAACTCTTAACATTTTTGGTGTGTTTATTTCTAGTATTGTGCTAACTGATTAGCTTTACAAAGTTAATATTATGTTGTCACAATTTCCCCTTGCCCTTTCCTGGGGTAATACTAAAGGTATTATCCAGTGTCATTACAAACCCTGTAAACAATTTTTATATTACTATTCTCTTTAAGAGGCTTATCACAGGCAGACAAGGTGACTCAGCTAGCAAGGGCGCTTGCCATGCAAAACTGACAACCCAAGTTCAACCCTCAGAATGTATGTAAAGATGGAAAGAGAGAATCAACTCCAGAGTTGTCCTCAGACTTCCATACATTGCACCATGGTACACATCATCCCTTCCACACATATCATACAAACACACAGACACACAGACATACACGCATACACAAATAATATATAAAATACCATTTTAAACACAAGACCATCATTATTTTCTCAGCTATACATATGTGGTAAATATTTATACCATTTTTCACATTTCACTAGTAGAAAATAATCCAACAATGGATATATTTGTGTCTGATCTTTAATCTTTACTTTTGGTCACTTAAGAGAGATATAACTAAAATTGAATTAACAGATCAAACATATTTAAGGTACAGATGGTCACATTGGTTTTTTTAAAAATTTATTTTAATAAGTTTTAACTCCAACTTCTTTTACTTTATAAACATTTTAATTCTCATTTTCCATTTGTGCTTTAAATTTTGTGACTATTATAGCTATTTCAGCCTGTCACACTTTTCTAGTATACTATTTCCTTTCATATGTGAATTTCCTATTTTATTTTTCTACTTTTTCCCTTTTGAGAAAAAATTTTTTTGAGACTTTTCTTATCCATTTATATGGGCTCCTTTATATTTTAAAATACCCAGCTCACTTGATAGTTTAAACAGTTACATCATCTTTTAAAATTTAAGCTACAAATAATATAAAAAATTAGTTATCATTTGAAATACTAATAAGTATCAAATTAAAGGTAAAGCTAATAAAGAGTAGGTATGGAAAGGGGTAGTAATCACCTCTCCTGAGAGTAGATTAATAAATCACTTTATTTTCAATTAAGTTAATTTATTGTTTTCACCATTCACTGAAGTTATGACTGCTGCAGTATTGGCTAAATGACAGCAACACACACAGCCTCTTTGGAAATTACCAAATTTAAAGGTTTGGACTTTTTAAATTAAAAAATTACATTTATGTATTTATTATTTATGTATTCATTTATTATTTATTTATTTATGTGTGTGCACATGCACATTGAAGTCAGAGGAAAATTTGCAGGAGTTGGTTCTCTCCTTCTATCATGTAGGTCCAAGGACTCCAACTCAGGTTGTCAGGCTTGCTAGAAACTGCTTTTACCTGATGAGCCATCTTGCCAGCCTCGAGTTTAGCTTTTTTCTTTGTCTTTTTGAGACAGGGTTTCCCTGTAGTCCCAGCTGACCTGAACTCACTGGTAGACCAGGCTCAAAAAGATCCGCTTGCCTCTGCCTCCCAAGTGCTGGGACTAAAGGCGTGTACCACCACGCCCAGGCAGTTTAGCTTTTTTAAATGTAGAATTTAAAAAAAACAATGTGATGATGTAATCTAACCTGAGTCTGGGTACAGTCATTTAATGTCCCTATCATTAAGATAGCCATATATCCTTTATACATAAAAATAAGTTACATATAAATGGGTGGACACTATAATATTGTAGATCCTTCATTCTTAGCACAGTGAGTCATTTACCTTGGGATGCTGTTACAGTCTTTCTCTAGTTTAAGTCCATCAAGTTCATCAAGATTAATTTTTTGTCTTTCAAGATATATTGAATTTTGACTTAAATGGTTAAATAGAAGTTAGGAGAAATAAATTATTATACAAACCAGAGAAAGAGACATAAAATTTACAAGAGAGTCATAAGAAGAACCTCCTGAAGAATTAGAAATCTGAAGAGAAGCATGTTAGTTTTACTACTGTGACAAATACCACAGAGAAACAATTTAAAAGGAGGACAGGTTTATTTTGATTCATGATTTCAGAGATGTCATTCCATGGGCTAGTGTAAGTAGAGCATTTTGGCTCATGTTATGAGGTAGAGCAGAGTTGCTTACACCATGGCAGTCAGGAAGCAGAGAGAGGAACTGGAGAGAGATCGGGACAAGATACAGTTTCTGAGGGCAGACCCCAAGGATCTATCCCTTGAACTAAGTCCCATTTCTAGATAAATCCTAGTTGCCCAAAATAGGAATCCATCAATGGATTAATCCATTTATTAGGTCAAAGCCCTCATGAACCAATCCCGTCCCCAAAGCCCAACCTCTTCATAGTGCTGCATTAGGTCTAAGCCTTTGACACAGGGGCATTTACATATGGAAAACAACAGAGTGAAAGAAAAAAACAAAAACAGCAAAGTCACCTGAGAGGTATTGCGAGTTGGCCGAAATGAAATGAGCGTGGATGAGTGGGAAAGATGGTTAAAGAAGTGAAATGGAAGAAGATGGGTGTCATATCTAATTCTTAGCTATGATAAAGTTGGCAAGAGGTCATTGCAGGTTTTCTAAGGTGGAGTCAAAAGGTGAGAAGCTTCATGGGGCTCAAAAAGGTAGAATAGTAGTGTACTATAGTCAGGAACCACTGTGTAAGGTGGCTAAGAGCGAAGTGAAGCCAGGCATGGTGGTGCATGCCTGCAAAACCAACATTCCAGAGGTTAAGACATGGAGATTGAGAGTTCAAAGCCAACCTGGTCAACCTACGAATAAATATGTAGACCCTGCGAAAATAAGGTAGGAAAGGAAAGGAAATGAAGGCAGAAAGGAATGGGGAAAGGAAAAGAATGAAAGGAAAGGAAAGGAAAAAGGAAAGGAAGTAGCTATGAGGATAGTCTGCTTTCAAGTCCTGGGTCTGATCTTTGCCAGCTGTGTGGCTTTGGGCAAATTATGTAAACCTGTTTCCTCCACTGTAAAATTTGAATAACAATATGAGTAACTATTTCATCCATTCTTGTTGAGTATTAAATGAGTTTATCTCTTTGAAGTGCTCAGTGTAGTTTCTTATATATGACCAGTGTGTAATAAATGTTAGTTACTATTGTTCCCACAAGTATGTACAGACCAAATGTAGCAGAGATGCAATCTTTATTGTTGGAAGAGTACAGAAATAGAAGAATCATAACATTGAAAATGCTTATGGTGGACATGAAGGCTTATACCTTTGCCCCAGGTGGACCACAGGGTTGGAGTGAAGCCCTAAAGCAGTGACCCAGTGCTGTACACAAGTACAATTAGAACATAGAAAAAAAAAAAAAGAAAAAGAAAAAAGAATAAACCAGTGGCCTGTTAAGAAAGTCTAATTAACAATGTTAATCAAGAAAAAAATATTTGATTAAATGTCCCCCCAAGTCAATGCATGGAAATGTTGGGATAAAGGCTAGAAAGAAAATTATGGCTTTAAAATATGTTAAAGTGGTAATATTTTCACACTGTGGCAAACAGTGCTGCTCTATGAATCTGAATTGTGAAGATGGTATTTATTTTTCATCACCTTGAAAAAAATAGTGGTCATGAAAAAAAAAATTAAATGTTAGCAAGAAATAGCAACTGAAGTAATGTGCTAAAGTTGTGCTTGATAATCCAAATTAAAATATAAGAATTTCAAATGCCTTGGGGGAAGTGGGCATTCATTTGGTAGCTAAAAGCTTAAAATACTCCACACTTTAAATACTATTTCTACACTGAAATGCCACATTTACAAATTGAAAATCCTTTTTATTTTCTTCAGTTTCATTTTAAAATAAAAGATAAGCAGATATACTTGAGAAACTAACACATACCGAAGAAAAGCTCATGCAGGACGAGTTCTCTTATCTTTTTCAAGAGTGCTTCAAGGAAAGAAAATTTTCGGAGTGGGAAGGATCTGTGCCCATTGTTTTACTATTATTTGAGATGCAAAGAAAGCTTTCTTTAACTATGTCCCGCGCTGATGGCCAAGCGCACATCTACACACAGGCACCTCTATCTATGGAAACTTCCGTGCACATGTAGAGACCTGTTTTTTATAAAAAAGTGCTCCCTGATGATTTAGGTGGTGTGCGTTTGTCTACTTGCCTTTTGAGAGGGACGAGTCTGGACACTCGTCCAGGAGACCTGTTTCGCAATTTCTCCAGGAATAATCCTTGAGTCAAGCTGGGCCTGGAGCAACCTCTGGTTAAGCTCTCAGGCTGGGCGGGCTGCGCCAGGGAGTGGGTGGAGCTCACCAAGTTCATTACTCTGTCCACAGAAAGCCCAGGCTTATTCCAGCAGCGGACTCCAGGAGCCGCTGCTTGCATCTTCCCGGCTTTCCGCTAAACTCCGTCTCTTCTTCCAAAATCCCCATCTTGGCGGACACTGCATAGGGGAGCCCGCCCGAGCCCGAGGTAGGGGCGCGTGGAGTGGGCAGTTCCCAGGAAGGGTCGGGTCCTCCAGTTTCTTGAGCGCGGTTCCCGTCCGTGGAAGAGGGCGTCTCGGAGAGTGTGGAGGACTCGGAAGTCCGTAGGGGACCAAGTGGTTCCAGCCCAGTCGCTGGAGGAGCCCCGGGAGCATCCTGAAGCGGCATTTTCCGCGCCAGCCACGCGGTGTGGATCCTGCTGCCCGGCCACGCGCAGGATCCACATCCTGCTGCCCAGCGGCGCGCAGCTCTAGCCGGGCGGCTCTGGCCAGGGGCGGTAGAGGAGCACCGGGCGGTGGAGGAGCATTGGGCGGAAGGGATCCCGCAGGGCGGCGGTGGTGGAGCGGGGTTCACGTGGGTGGTGGGGACGCTGGGCGCCCACAGGGAAGCCCTTAGGTGCGTTACCTCCCGGCCCTGCCGGGAGCAGCGGGCGGGCACTCCTCACCCCTGAGCTCCAAGAAGGGAGTAGCCGGCAGCCTCCTCCCTCTGAACTTCCACCATAGCCTCCCGACCTTGTATTTGGCTAATGAACTGTGGTTTCTTCCCAGGTCGAGATGGAGCTTGAAGAGGACCGCAGTGGAAGAGCAGGGAAGAACTCGAAGATGGGCAAAAAAAGGTAGCAGACTGTTCCACTTTCGAATTTTACAGGGCTTTTTGTTCCTCGGGCAGTTTGTTTGTAGCCTCCGGCGCTACAGCAAAACTCAAGTGGTTGCTATTTCGGTTCCTCTGCTTGTAGCAGAAGTTCTTTGGCTGTGTGAGGCACAGCAGCAGGCTTCAGTACAGCTTCGAGACCGGCCATTGCTCACATCCGTTTTGTTTTATTACCTCTGCTTTATGAACAACACTCATCGCCCATGCACCTGAGCCATATGCTCTTTGGACTCTGTCCTGTGGCTCATTAGCTTGATTCTTATAAAGCAACTCCAGAAATAGCGCGTGTTTGTGGCATAGAGAAAAGAGACTAAAATGACATTTAGATTTAGTTTTGTAGACCATTCTCAATGATTATAATAAAATGGTTGTGTTACCACAGAAAAAAAGCCACATCTTACACTGAACATTCTACAAAAACTGATTAACGATTAGGTCTAGAGCCTACTTACTAACTGATTAGGTTTAAAAGCTACTTACAGCTGGGCCTGGTGGTGCCCACCTTTAATCCCAGCACTTGGGAGGCAGAGGCAGGCTGATCTCTGTGAGTTCAAGGCCAGCCTGGTCTACATAGTGAGTTCCAGGACAGCTGGGGCTACAGGGAGACCCTGTCTCAAAAAGACCAAAAAAAAAAAAAAAAAAAAAAAAAAAAAAAACCAACAAAAAACCCCCCCAAAAACCTACTTACAAATTCTCTTTAGTTCTTTTAGCTCCCTTAATAGCCTACCTTCAATCTACCTTTGTGTCTAAGCTAACATTCTTGTTACTGTCACTTGAAACCTTTGGGCTGTATTAACCTAACAGGCTTCCACCAACCCATAAGTTAAGAATGTTATCAGTTATCTAAGGCCCAAAGCAAAGTTTTTCCAACTTTGCTGTAATTTGCTTACCTGATGCAAACACATAAAAGTGTGCTGATTTATGACTTTATGATTCATTTTCAGTTCACCGGATCAGAAAGTGGAATTAAGCACTTGAAAATATTATTTTTATTTTATGTGTAAGAGTGTGTTGCCTGCATGCGTGTCATATAATGCCTGAAGAGGTCAGAAGGCATCAGATTCCCCTGGAATGGGCATTATTGAGGGTAGTTAGCTGCCATATGGGTGCTGGGACTCGAACCCAGGTCCTGTGCAAGAACAGCCAGTGCTCTTAACTGCTGAGCTATCTCTCCAGCACCAAATTAAGCACTTTTACTAAGTACTTTTTAAAGCCTCATCTTGGTTTCTAAATACCATTATATACATCTCCATATGTGCTTGGTTTGAAATAGATATAGCCATGGGACATTTTTGTCCTTTCAAAAAAGTCAATGTGTATGCTTACAGATTAAGTAGCCACCAAATGTACTTTATGAACTCTTATTAAATCAGAGTTCAATAAAGGAAAAGCAATTGCAGAAAACATACACGGGAACTTTGTGGGTTGGATTTTTAAACAGTACCAACACTGCTACTAAGGTTCCAAGATGTGGTAATGGTAGTAGAGCATATGAATACTATAATATTTGCAACTTAAATAGTTTGGCAGAGTCTTAACAATTGATAGTATGTACTCTTTATATTGATAAGGATTGTCAAAATGGTAATAATTGATCGGTCTAGGTGAATTATACACTAATCTTTATTTTTTCCTGTTTACTTCATATTTTTTTTCCTTTGGTCTTTTTTGAGACAGGGTCTCTCAGTAGCTCCAGTTGGCCTAGAACTCATGCTATATAGACCAGGCTGGTCTTGAACTCACAGAGTTCCATCTGCCTCTGCCTCCCCAGTGCTGGGACTAAAAGGATGTGCCACCATGCCCAGCTCATTTCATTTTTAATAGAAAAATTCATATAAACAAAGAAGGGAGGGAAGATAATCTATGTTTGTCCTCTTTAGAAAATGACTTGAAGAATTATGTTTTTAAGACACAAACACTTGAGTAAGCATTTGAGTAAGAAGTATGAGGCTATGTGGAAGGAAACCATAAAGTGTTTGATTTTGTACAAATCTTCATATTATTAATCCCATCAATTCTTACAGATTTTTCTTAAAACAATTTTTTTTTGTTGAGCTCATCACCATTTATTGAACTTTTGAGAGTTTCATACAATGTGTTTTGATCATATTTAGGCCCCCCTCCCCTATCTCCACTCCCCTTACTTACTACCTTCCACCCGTTTTCATGCACTCTGGCATAAAACATTTTTTTAAGGCCTATCAAGTGAGATTTGTGTCCACAAATGCTGTCGTGTATGGATCTATCCACTGGAGCCTGGTAAACCTACCCAGCATCACACCCTTAAAGAAAATTGAGTCTCCCTCTCCAGCTGCTGTCAGTTGCCAACAGATCCTCAGCTAGGGTTGGGGCTTCTTATCTTCTTCACCACTTCTATTATAGGATTTGTCTGGCTTGAGCTTCCATGCATCTTGTACATGCTGTCACTATTGCTGTGAATTCATATGAGTATCTGCCTAGTTGTCTGGAAAACTTTCCACTGTGTGTCATCATCCACGACCTCTGACTCTTATTAATCTTTCTGATCCCTCTTCCACAATGTATCACCATTGATTTTAATCTGTTCTTAAAACTATATGTTTTATAACATGGGATCATAAAAAAAGAATTTAGTTTTGCTGATAGAAAATGCTGGAATTTAGTACCAGGACTAAAGACTTTATTCACTAAAACAGTTTGTTTTGTGATGCTGTGGATCAGAACCAAGCCCTTGAGCATGCTATACAAGTGCTCTAAAATGATGTTAGATAGCAAATTGCCTTTGTAAGCATTGTTTTGTGCTGTTGGGGGTAAGAATAATCTAGTAGATGTGAGAGATGGTGTGAAAGTGCATTTTCAAGCCATACAATTTCTCAAAAGTCTGAAGGCACACTTTAGAGCTTATTCCCTTTCGTGGAATAACTTGGAAATTAAAATCTTGTTTTTGCTCCAACTATTGACTTCAGTCTTCCGTAGTTTTCTCCAAAAGAAAGACAAAGTTTGCCTTTCTCAGAATTGTTTACAAATTGTGCGGGAAGTGCTTACTTTGTGGCTGGAATATTATAACTGCTCCAAAGTAGCATCAGTTTTAGAGAAGAAAAATAAACAACTTAGAACTAAAATTCAGCCATTTATGGTTATTGGTCTCCTCTCATCCAGGTTTCAGGGATACTGAATGGGCCTTTACTAGGAATAGGGTGGAACCAAAACTGAAAATGTCTGTGTACAGTGTATCAATCTAACATTATTCTAAAGTCAAATACATGCAACCTTTGGATTTTTTCTTCAGAGTCTCTTTACCAAGCTCTGTAAAGTGCTTGTCATGCAAGCATAAAGACGAGTTCAAGCCACAAAAGTCCACATGAAAAAGCCAGGCACAGCATTGTCTGCCTGGAATCCCTGGGGCTTGATGACCAACCAGGCCAGCTGAATCGGCAAGCTCCAGGTTCAGTGAGAAAACCTGTGTCAAAAAAATTAAGAGGAGAGCGATGGAGGAAGACATTAGACATTGACCTCTGATACACACACACAAAGAAGTCTCTTTACCTCTGACTTTTTTAATCAAAAGAAGGAAGATGAGGACAAATTTATTTTTTGAACTCAAAAAATTTCTGTAAAAACAAGGCTGCTCGTTTCTAACAGTTTTTCTTCTATACATAGGTAAAATCAGGATAGTTTGTTAAAGTTACTTTGTTTTTCTATCCTAGGCTGCAGTTACATGTAATGACAAAAATATGGGTTACTGATTTAAAGTCATTTGAAGCTGAGTTCAGAATAAGAATTGACCCTTTAGGCCCAAGGACAGCCTTTTTACAGTTTACAGAACATCTTTTCTAGATTGCATTTCTTTCCATAATGGCTCACAGCATTACAGAGATCCTTTCAGAATTAGATTTCCTCATAGGCTGATTTAATTACTTTGTTACTTAGGTTAGTTGTGCTCAACAGCTGATTGCCACTCTACCCTATTAGGAAAGAGAATAATTAAGAATAATATCTAGGCAATCTACAGATAGAATATCTCTTGCTACAATTACTCAGATGATAGTCAAAACGGTCAGTCCTGAAGCGTGAATGATTTTATAATTAGAATAAAAATGCAAAAAATTTTTAGTGTGTACTTTTCCTCATCCCGTGTGTGTGTGTGTGTGTGTGTGTGTGTGTGTGTGTGTGTGTTCATCATGGAAAATTAAGAAATGGCTAAGGCACAAGGGAAATATTTATATAAAAATCCTAATTCCCAATGATAACCACAAACAGATTTTTTTAAGATATATGTAAAAATGTTTACATTTAAACCTCAAATGATTCATACTATTATCTGTTTTTATTACTTAATTGCCATTAAACAAGAGCTTAGTTGCCATTAAACAAGAGCTCTAAAAATTGATTTAGTAATTGTAGAATGTATAATTTTTAAAGTTTTTTCTAATTTCTTTGCTGTATTTTTCAGTAAAAAAGAGAAGAAAGAAAAGAAACAAGTTGCCAGTATATTGACAATGGTGAGTTTTTAATTTATTCATTATTCAAACTACTTTCAAATATTAACTTCTTCCATCCCTAGAAAAGATAATTCATCTGTTATAATATTTTTTGAGGCTGTGTCAATAGGCAAAATTAAGTGATTAGACAGCTTACTTTCAAAGAACTGCTGTTATGATTTGACATATAAATTGTATCTCAGCAGCCACCTCCTCCTGCCTAGATTTTAATATTCTCTCTATGAGTTATAGCTCTGTTATCTGCCACCTGTACAGACATCTTTCCTAGTCATGCTCTTTTCCATTCCGTATAAGAAACTGCTCCATTGCATGCCACCTTTTAATGTCCCTGAAATTCTGGCATGGTTGAGGGTCAAATTCCAAAGCACTCATAAAAATAAAAGCTGGCAATGGATTATTTATTATGATGATTGAGCATATGACATTATTCCTCTGTGCTAAATAGCTGAAAATGTAGAATTTGAAAACCTTAACAAAACTACTTGCTTTTTTGGTTGTACAGTGATTATTTGGAAACTTTTCTTTGATCTTTCATGGAATATGACAGGAATTTTATAGGTCAGACTAGTTTTTGATATCTTCTATGAAAATTCCTTTTTTCTTTTTAAAAAAATTATCATTTATATTTAAAATATTTATTTCTTTATTTATTCATTATTTATTTTATGTGTATGAATGGAATGCCTGTGTGGTGGTTTGAATGAAAATGTTCCCCATAGGCTCCAAGTGTTTGGACATTTTGTCCCCAGATGATGGCGCTGTTTTGGGAGGTTTTAGAAGGTGTGGCTATCCTGGAGGAAGCACGTCACTGGGGGTGGGCTTACAGAGTTCTTAAGCTTTGCCAGATCTCCAGTCGCTCTCTTGCTTCCTGTGCCTGCATGATGATGTGAGAGCTTAGCTTCTGCTGCTCCTGCTCCAGCCACCTCCAGCCACAATGCCTCCCTGCCATGACAGACTGTAATTCCCCTGGAACCATAAGCTGAAATAAACTCTTCCTTCTATAAATTGCTTGGGTCAGTGTTTCTATCACAACAACAGAAAAGTGACTAATACAGCCTGCATGTATATAAGTGTACCTATGTCATACAGTGCCTGCAGAGATCAGAAGAGGGCATTAGAGCCCTTGGAACTGAGGTTACAGATGGCTGTTAGCTTCTATGTGGGTGCTGGGATTCGAACCCGAGTCTTCTGCAAGAGTAGACAGTGTTCTTAACCACTGAGCCATCTCTCCAGCCCCAAAATTTCTTTTTTCTAAGGGTGCAAGCTTACATAAACTATTCCAGACTCTGGAGCCTAGAAGAATTTCAACCAATCAAGTCTTGCCACATTCTTTTTATAATTCAGTCATTCCACACTAGACGTGTTTTGAAATGTGGAGAAGAAGGAAGAATATCATGTAAAATGGATCTTAATACATTCAATGTAAAGATAGATTTAGGTAGGAAAACACAATCTCATGACTTTTGCACTGAGGACCCTGGCTGTCTTATACCATCCTTATCTTTCTCTGGTTACAGATGCCCTTGCTGTGGATCTCCTCCCCCCCCCCCCCCCCGCTTTAAGATTTACGTATTTTTATTTATGTGTATGAGTGTTTTGCCTGCATATATGTATGTGCGTGATGTGTGTTCAGTGCCTGTGGAGGTTAGAAGAGGGTGTCGGATCTCCTGAAACTGGAGTTACAAATGGTTATTAGCTGCATGTGGGTGCTGGGAACTGAATCCTGGTCCTCTAAAGAGCAGCAAGTGCTTTTAACTGCAGGGCAATCTCTGTAACCCCTGGGGCTCCTTTTGTTACACATCCCCACTCCTGTTTGTCCTCATTGTTCTTGTTTGGTTTGGTTTCTATTTAGTTCTGTTTTGAGACAGAATCTCTTGTATCCTGTCCTTTTACTCACTATGGAGTTGAGGATGACTTGAATTCCTGATCCTCCTGTCTCTGCTGGGATTACAGATATAGTGTATAGTTTGTCACAAAAATTATTCTTTTTTTTTGTTGTTGTTCTAAGTACTAATAAACAGTATATTTTATTCATATATATAGATATATAGATATAATCAGTTTTTATTTGTTAATATCTCATTAAACCTGGGGAAAAACAAACACAAGCAACCCTCTCAGGACTAACCCAGACTAAGTATTTGGGTTAATCATCCTTAGGTTCTTCAAGTAGTCCTTAAAAAGTAAGGTTCCGAGTCCTCTGATTATGTTGATTGTTCCTTTCTGAACACACTATCTTAGAGATAATTCTTGAGTGATCTAATGATAGGGTTTTTGTTTGTTTTTTGCTTTGGATTTCATTCTTTTTTTTAGACAGTTAAGAATATTCCTTTGGATAAGATTGGGGTCTGCTGTTCAAGTTCCCAGTTCTCTGCTGGGTTACTATCTGGGAATCCCTTTGGCCACCCTGGCCAAAAACTCAGAAGGAGGTATCGCCTGTCTGGCATTGTTGCTTGCTATGTAGCCTTTAGCTATATATATGGTTTCTTATGGAATTATATTGGCCCCTTTAATCTTTGGTTATACATTCCTTTTGGGTGTTTAAGGCCATACAGTTGGACCAGATAAACCAATTTATTTTTACTCTTAAGGTCGTTTGAGGATCTGTTCCTCAGGGGTCACATGGCCTTGGGAGGAGCCCCTGGCTCCTTCCTTTTACCAGTTCTGCCTATATGAAGATAAGTCAAAGGTCTGGTTCAACCGTGGTTGGTTTTGCGATCTGTTCCTCAGGGGTCCCATGGGCTTGGGAGGAGCCCCTGGCTCCTTTCTTTTACCAGTTCTGCCTATGTGAAGATAAGTCAAAGGTCCTGCTCAACCACGGTTGTCTTCGCTTGAAAGCATGGAGGAAATGATTCCTCTGTGTTGACCCTCCTCTTTATAGACTGGACACTGGTTCAAGTCCATCTGGTGGGGTCTCCTTGGCCTCCTTGATCAAGAGGACAGGTGACCCACCACCATTATAGGACATTTTGAGAGATGCTCATAGTCCCCTGGAACTAGTCGACCTAGGAGGGCAAGGAGCAAAAAGGGTCCTTTATGTCCCTCTGACCAAATTATTATAGATCTCAAAGTATGTCTTTTAAAAACCCAACAAGATTAGTTCCACCAGTCTGGTATTTTTAATTACTGTGTGTCATGTAGATAAATCTCAGGCAAAGACCAGTTGTTCTTGATCTGCTATGTATAATGTGTCAGTAGGCTGTTCCTATGGTTCCCTCTGGTTTTCAAAACTAGCTATGCATTGTTAATCTCTCGCATTGTCTCACCCCTCCATTATGGTTTTCCCACTTAAGGTGCTCCCATTTCCCCCCTTTCTCCCTTACTAATAAACTTCTCCTATGGTCCTACCTCTCGAGCTCCTTTCCCTTTATCCCCTAGGTTCCTTGTATACCCTTCCCTCCCCTGTCCCTTAAACTAACCCAATTTTTATCCATATGTCCCTTATTAAGGCCTGTTTCCTAATGTTCTTCTCTTTCAGGTTATTTCTTTTCCTTTACCTCCCTGTTTCTTTTCCATTATCTTGGTTATCAGCGTCTGGTTCTAGGATCCACATGTGATGGTAAACATATGTCGATTTTTTTTCTGAATCTGTTACTTCACTTACTATAACAGTTTCTAGTTCCATCCAATTATCTGCAAATTTCATGATTTCATCTTTCTTTATTCTTGAGGAAAACTCTGTAGTATAAATCAACCACATTTTCATTACCCACTAGGCAGTCTAACAGGGGTAAGATGAAGTTTTAAAGTGGTGTTAACTTGCATTTCTTTAATTACTGGTGATGTTGAACAAATTTTAAGACACTTTT